CATTTTTTACTTTTTGTTTTAAATATTGTTACGCCTAAAAAGTCAGGACTGACGTGGGCTCTCGTCATCAAGAGCCAATCAGAATTCAGGGACGATTTGTGCCATCTAGACGTTGCCATGTCGCACAATGATGGAAGAGGTATGGTTCTCGTTAGTGCAGCAGGTGAGTGCCAGACTTGCGAGTGGCTAGGAATCGTCCACCTGCCCAAGCCCTATGCAATTTAAGGAAATCTCTCATGCAGACAACCAATGAGAGGCGGGTTAGAAATTGTACCCCACCTGCCAGACTGTAGGCTCATGATTATTACCTTGAATCTTCCCACTATAAATAGAGGGCTCCTCTCTCATTTACGGGATTGACTTATCTTAGTCTAAACAGCAGACACTGGCTTCATCGACATACTCTTTGAAGTGCCCTTGCTTGATGAGGTCTTCGATTGCTTACTTGATGAGGTCTTTGATTGCTTACTTGATGAGGTCTTCGATGTGCATCATTGATACACTCCTCTCACATTTATGACATTCATCGAAGACCTCTCTCATTTTCGGCTATCAAGCAAGCAATCGAAGACCTCATCAAGCAAGGGCACTTCAAAGAGTATGTCGATGGTCCGACTCCCGTTCGGGAAAAGGATCAAGAGGAACCAGGGAAGAAGCGTCGAGGTCGCAAGGGTCTCTACTGTGTAGGGATCATCTTTGGAGGAAAGCACCTCGCAGGGAATTCTCGAGGTGCCTAGGAGAGGTATGCTTGGGAAGCCCGTCATGACCCTATGAGTGTAATGAGCACGGCGCCCCGACCCGCTAAGGTTCGCAAGGAAAAGGAGATCACCTTCTCTAAGAAAGACGTGGTGCGATTGCATCATCCCCATGAGGATGCACTCGTCATCACGCCTAAAATAGGCTAGTGCGAAGTCCATAGAATGTTAGTGGACAATGGAAACGCTATGAATATATTGTTTCAGCGAGCTTTCGAGAGAATGCAACTGGATGAGGCAGACCTAAAGCCTGCCTCCATCCCTCTCTATGGTTTTACCAGGGATCATCTGATTCCTAGGGGGACGATCTCACTTCTAGTCACATTGGGTGAAACCAACAAAATGACCAAAAATGACCGAATTTTTTGTGGTAGACTATCCGTTTGCCTTCATTGGCATTTTGGGAGAACCTCTACTGAGCAATTTCAAGGAAGTCACCTCCATCTACCATCTGAAAATGAAGTTCCCCACCCCAACGAGGATAAGGGAAGTAAACGGATCTCAACATGAATCTTGCAACTACTACATAAGAGTAGTGCAGATGGCGTGCAAGGGAAAGAAAGGCCCATAGGCATCCCTGAGCAGGCTATGGCAATCAGTAGGATCGAGCCATAGCCTAGCCCAGTAAAGAATAACTTGGATCCTCGCATCCAAGAGTGCCCTCATAGTGGGCCAGTTGAGGACTTATCTAAGGTATCAGTCGATCAAAATGAGCCGACCTGAGTGTTGAGAATCGAGAGTAATCTCAACCCTCAGCTTGCCAATAACCTGACAAGCTTCCTCAGAGAGAATGTTGACATTTTTGCATGGACTCATGTTGACATGACCGGGATCGGCCCAAATGTTATATGTCATGCACTAAACATTAACAGGGCGGTCAAGCCGGTTTGTCAAAAGAGAAGAGCAATGGACCCTGAATGTTATGCTGCCTTGAAAACTGAGGTAGATAAGCTCATTTTGAATGCGTCCCTTCGAGAAGCGCTTTACTAGAGTTGGGTAGCAAATTCGGTCTTGGTAAAAAAGCCCAATGGCAAGTGGCGAACCTGTGTTGACTTCACCGACCTCAACAAAGCCTGTCTGAAGGAAAGTTTTCCCTTGCCAAAGATCGACCAGCTCCTCGATGCCACCTCCGAGCAAGAGTTGCTAAGTTTTATGGACGCCTACTTAGGATATAATCAGATCTCGATGTACGCATCGGATGAAGAGCATACCTCATTCGTTACAGATCGGGGACTGTATTGTTACAAGGTCATTCCCTTTAGACTAAAAAACGATGGGGTAACTTACCAGTGGCTAGTTAACTGTATGTTCTTTGAGCAGATCGGAAAGTCGATGGAAGTCTATGTTGATGACATGCTGGTCAAGTCACATGTCGCCTTAGATCACATAGCGCATCTCGTTGAGATGTTTGACGTACTCCGAAGGTACAGAATGAAGCTCAACCTTCTTAAATGCTCATTTGGAGTATCCTCAGAAAAATTCCTAGGGTATATGGTTAACTAAAGGGACATCGAAATCAACCCCGAGAAGATCCAAGCTCTCCTTGATATGAAAAGCCCGACCAACAGAAAACAGGTTCAGAGCCTAAATGGGAGAAGGCCACCTCAGGTCGCTTGTGTTATTCTTAAAGGTAGATGTTGTGACCTCCTCGCAGCTCGACCAAACGTCATTCGGGACAAGTCAGTTTGTGGCATAATCATGAAGTTCTCAAGGTTCAATCTTTAAACCTTAAAAACTGGGGGGCTTCTGTTATGCCTAAAAAGTCAAGGCTGACGTGGGCTCTCATCAGCAAGAGCCAATCAAAATTCAGGGAGGATTTATGCCGTCTAGATGTTGCCACATCACGCAATGACAAAAGAGGTATAGTTCTTGTTAGTGCAGCGATGAGTGCCAGACTTGCGAGTGGCTAGAAATTGTCCACCTACCCAAGCCCTACACAATTTAAGGATATCTTTCATGCAAACAACCAATAAGAGGCATGTTAGGAATTGTATCCCACTTGCCAGATTGTAGGCTCATGATTATTACTTTGAATCCTCCCACTATAAATAGAGGACTCCTCTCTTATTTATGAGATTGGCTTATCTTAGTTTAAACAGCATACACTCTCTCTCTCTCTCTCTCTCTCTCTCTCTCTAGATTGTAACTCAGTTCGCTATCTACAACCTGATTGTAACCATCTATCAATATAACAACAGTAGACGTAGGAACCGCTTTTGAATATCTGAACCACTTTAAAAACCGCCTTTTATTCACTCTCTTGCTACACATTTCCATATCATGTGTAACTTCTAAGCCTGCTTAACATTTTGCACGTGCGAGTCGTTGGTGCCGAAATCAAACATCAACAAATATGGTATGTCTAACAAGTTCTTTTTGCTACAAAAATCTAGAATCTTAGCAATTATTATATAATCACTTTATTCTTGTATGAGTATTAATTGAACTGGTTACAATAATAATAAAAATTGAAAAGTAATAAGAGAAAGAAATAAACAGTTTGGTTAAGAAAAAGAAATAAACAGTTTGGTTATTCCTTTTGCCCCATTCATGCAATAAACAATAAATTCCAACAAAGTGCTAAAGAGGACCTACAAAAAGCATTAGTTTACCAAATTAAGGAAGTTGTCATATGCTCAGTTGTACCCTTTATTAGTCAGTGACTTGGGCTAAACATACAACATTTCTTTACTTTTCCTTTATACTATACTTCTTCCTAAAATTTCCGTTACTTCTATCTCAAACAACAAATAAAGCAACTAATATATGGTCCCCTCTAGGCTTTATATACTTACTGAAGGATCCAGTATTTGAAGAACAATTTCGCAAATCGAAATCCAAAGACTTTGCGTTATTCATCTTGCAAGTGATGGTTGAGTGTAATCTTTATATTGTCTTTGAAAATTTTCTAGTTTAGTTTTACAACATTAAGTGCTTGTTTGCGGCCGGAACGTTTGAATTGTTTTGAACTACGTATTTATGTGTTGTTCAGGCCACAGGACTCTCAGTCTCAGCCTCAGGCTTCTGATCCAGAGAGCGGGAGTGATTTGACGTAACGTGAAAATCCTCAAGGCGTTCCGAATAAATTACTAGCTTCTTATGCCTGGCTACCCGGATCCTTGCGAAAAGCTCTAAATTGGATGAGTGACAAAATTGATATAGAATCCAATTGGGGCCGCGGGCTATATATTGCAGCTTATATGATTGTTATCTTAATGCATCCTTTGCATTACTGCGCTTATGAGATCAATTTCGATCAAAATTGCGTCGAAATCGTCAATGAATTAAACGCCACGATTGCTGCTGTCGTCTTCTTTAATTTTTATATGCTGCTCTATACTCCCAATTTTTTAAAAAAACCCTTTTCATCTAATCGTAGTTCTAAAACCGCGATCGGATATTTCTTCTTTATTCAAATACCAGTATTGTTCATGACATTGGTAAGCTCATCAATTCTTCGACAGCTAATTTTGTTTTATAATTTCATCATATATAAAAAGAGTTGTTTAAACTTGCTATGGTTTGTGCAGACGGTACTTCCTTATTTGACAACGGGAGCGAAAGACCAGATCTTTTTGGCGGCAGCTGACTTGTTTCTTTTCGGAAATATTCTACTGGTTATTGGACCGTCACTAACTATTAAAAGAGCTACTGAGATTATGGCTTTTTTGCCGAAGCTAAGTGGGTCAAAGCTGTATTCAATCTTTTTCTTTACCTGCTTGGGGGTCATGTAGGTTACTTCAGTCACCACTTATTTTTGCTAATTTACTTGAGTATCACAGATGTCACGATTTATAAACAAAATTCAACACATAAACACTACATTGGTATTCAATTTAAAACTCATCATATGTATTCGGTCTGTTTGATTATTGGTTTTATAACAATCTAAAAATTGCATTTGATATTATGTTTTCAAATTTAAGAGTTTGGAAAATATTTTTGGCATGCATGGTATCTTAAAATAGTGAAAAATTAGAAATAGGTGATAATGGGCCATTAATTTGTCATACTGTTGATGCAATATTCCGTTGAGAGTCTAATATTTAATGAATTAAAAATCATTATTAATTTTTTTTTTTTTTTTCCTCAATATAGGTATTTGGAGCGTTATGGTACTCTTTTGCTATCGATAAAATTTTGGAGTGTTGGAGGGAAGACTATTTTTTGAGGAAGAATTCTAAACCTGATTCTTTCCTCTGTCGTGATCTGCATAATAATAAAGAAAATGTACGTTGTCCTAAAATAACACAAAATGTTAGCAAGATCACAGCGTTTGGAATATTCAACGAAGCTATTAAGTCTGGTATTGTGGAGAGGAAACCCCAATTTCTGCGGAAGATTTTATACTGTTTTAGATGGGGCATGCAAGCTCTCAGGTTTGTGCATATGAAAATAATTACTTATCTTTTTTTAATTTAATATCTTAAATAATTTTTAATAAATACAGTTCGGAAGCTATTAATTTTTAATTCGATTTTTTGATAATCTATTTTATAAATATCTTGAAAGTATCAACTGATTTTTAAAATATATGATTAATAATTATTTAATAAAATAATGTTAAGTTAACAAAAAAAAAAAAATGTATATTAATAATTATTTAATTAAATTAATAATTTAAGAAAAGATTCATCATTCAAGTCATTGTAGTGTATTTTAAGAATGTCATTGTCTTTTGGATGTTGTGTTTTTTATTTTTCCGACAAAGTGATTTGATTTGAATATTAATTACTTTTGAGTTGCTTAAAAGAGAATAGAAATTGCAAATTTTGAGCTTTTATATGGAATACTTTGCAGTTGTTTCCGCCAAAACCTGACACCAACTACAGATTACATGGAAAATATTTGTGTGGTTTCTGTAGTCATCTATTCCACGGAGCTGTTTGTCTTTTTAATCGGAAATATGCAGGTTGGTACATGTTCTATTTATCTCAATATGCTTAAGGTTGAAGCTCATCAAATTTAATTTCCGCTAATGGTGCTTCCGGAAAAACAGACATATCTGACATCCGAAGAAAAATCAGTGAAACAAACGGTAAAGCAGTGGATGTCCCTCAACAAGCTCTCCGAAAAACTGCAAAAGAAAGTGATAAAAAATTTACAGCTAGACAAATGGCAAGAAACCAAAATTCTTCACATAGAAACTTTTTTCAATGTTCTTCCTGAGAAGCTCCACCGTGACATAAAGATCGAGCTCTGCTTACAAAAGTTGAAGAAAGTGAGTACCTTGGTTTCTATAGCCTTCATTGAACTTCAAATGTTTTCGCTTCATTATTCCATCATTTTCTTCTCTTTGATCTTCTACTGAAATATACAAGATTGTGTATATATATTTATTGTCATTGATGCTTCCTATATTAAAATTTAATGAATCAATAAAATTATTAGAATACAAATACAGGAATTATATTAATTTTTCTATTGAAAAAATTAGCAATATAAACAAAATTCATACCCAAGTACGAATCATTTATACCACATGCCAACATAATTATGTCGTTTCTGAATTTTCTCTCTCACAAATTATATGGATAACAAAGAAGATACTTTGTCAAGTTGTAATTTTTAAAATTTTATTCTAAATCCACTAGTACTGTTTAGATATTGCATGCACTCTCATCTTTATTCCTGAATGTATATCAAGGTCAAAGAGTTTCCAAACTGGGGAGAACCAACGTTGATGGAACTATGTTATCGTATCAAGCCAACTTTCTATGTTGATGGCACTCTCGTAGTCCGGGAGGGAGACCCAATTAGCGAGATTCTCTTCTTGCTGAATGGTGAACTATGGACATACACCTCCAGGGCCACAGATCATTGCAACAACGACAAGGATCATTTGGTAGATGGTGATTTCTTTGGGAAAGAACTTGTCACTTGGGTTCAGGGCCTTCAGGCTGATTCCTACACATCCAGGCTCCCAGCCTCAACCAAAACAGTCAAGGCGCTTAAGAATGTGGAGGCCTTTCTTCTTACTGCCTATGACTTGAAGGAAATATTCATTGAGCACAAGCAGCAGCAAGCAGAACCTGAGATTAATCCTGAAGGACAATAGATTAGTCAGATGAGTTTTGATTTATGACATTTCAGGTGTGAGGGATAATAAACATTCTACTATTTATCTTGTTTATTTAAGTCTCTGAATGCCGTAGAAAGGTTTTACTGGAGGCAGAAATAAATGAACTATTATATGTTAGTTCAGTTTGATGTCGCTTTTAAGATTTCACTTTTATTTAATTAAAGAAGCCTAGTTGATACTGACCAGAGCATTAAGAAACTTTCTATTTTTGATCACAGAAAGAGAAATTATTTGCTGGAAGAAAGTTAAAACAAATTACGCTAGAAATGACGCATGATCATAATTCTCACCACGTGATGACAGTTTAAAAGACTGCAGATTTCTATATGATCATCAAATTGAGTCTGTTGGTGAGTGATTTGGTCATGTGTATGCTCTCCAATTTGGACCACAATCCTGCGGCCGTCTTTTCACTAGGCATTCCCGCAAAACTTCATCAGACAAATTCAACTGGATCTCCGACAAGGCTCTTCGATCCAGATTTTCCCAGTCTGTATCCGCAAGTTTCTGTTTGGCCCAATCTTCATCTGTCATGTCATCTAGTTTTGATGGCCTTCCTTCTAAAGCAACATCAAGTCCTTTGCTGTACAAGAACAGCAGTCATACGGACTTGCCAAAGACTAAAGTTGATGTTGTTGCCATCAAACTTCTCGATCTTGTTTGTTACCGATCTGTAGCAGCCATCGTAAATTTGATCAGATGACTGTGGCCCTGATACCAGTTTGTTGTGACAGACCGTAAATTTATATGGTTCGGCATTTTTTAGTCTACGTCCATGGGCAAAGATAAAAGAAGAATTTGGGCAAAGATAAAAGAAGAATTTCACTAACAAAATAGAGTATACAACTTTGGTGAAATTCTCAATCCCAAATCCCAAATACACCCAATATCTCTCACACTCTCACACACTCTAATCTCTCTAACTCAAGCTTTCCATCTCTAGTGTTTGTATTGCTTGAGAATGTCTGTGTTCTTCCCCACAAAACTCACCCGTATTTATAGTCGAGGGAAGACCAAAACTTGTCAAGATTTTTGGTACAAAATCCGAAGTGTGAATTTGTGAAGCCACCAAATAAATATGAGTATTTTGACATGTTGGGAGACATGAAGCTAAAATTTTGCTACCAATTCGGTGGCATTTATTACCACCAAAAAAGTTTATCTTTCATCAAGAGAAAGACGTGTGAACCTGGTGAAGAAAAAATGCATGACATTTATGAGCTATACACCAAACACATGTGAACATAACTTCACACTATTTAAGCCACTTTTTCTACAAATCTCCACCTAGGCTTAAATAGTATCAAACTCCATATTTAGCTTCTTCAATTATCTTCTCCAAACTTCTTTGAGAGTTTACCGAGCATAAGTATCAATCAAGTCCAAACAATGTTTGAACTTGATGCCTAGTAGAGATTTCGTCATCATGTCAACTGGATTATTTGTGGTACTAATCTTCAAAACTTAAACAACACCATCGGTGATACTATCTGAATGAAATGATATCGAACATCAATATGGTTTGTCCTTTCATCGTACATTTGATCTTTAGTCAAGTGAATAACACTTTGGCTATCACAATCAATGATAGTCATTCTAAGATCCATGCAAGTTCACTATATAAGCCTTTAAGCCAAATAGCCTTTTTAATTTCTTCAGTTGCTGCCATATATTCTGGCTCTATTGTAGACAATGCAACTATAGCTTGTAGAGTAGCCTTCCAATTTACTGCACAACCTCCAAGAGTAAACACATATTCGGTGAGTGATCTTCTCCGATCAAGATCACCTACATAGTCAGAATCAACATATCCAACTAAAGTATTATCATTTTTCCCGAACTCCAAACAAATATCCGAAATACCTCTCAAATATATGAGGATCCATTTCACAGCTTGCCAATGAACTTTACTAGGACAAGACATGTACCTACTCAAAACACTGACTGCATGTGAAATATCTGGATGAGTGCATACCATAGCATACATGATGCTACCAATTGCGTTAGAGTAGGGGACATGTGACATGTACTCTTTCTCCTTATCAGTTTGAGGGGATAAAGCAGTTGAGAGTCTGAAATGTGCAGCAAGAGGAGTAGAAACTGGCATGGCATTTTTCATGTCGAAACGCTCCAAAACCTTCTCAACAAATTTCTGCTGAGATAGATACAACTTCCTGGATTTACGGCCTCGCTGAATCTCCATTCCAAGAATCTTCTTTGCTGCACCGAGATCTTTCATCTCAAATTCTTCATTAAGTTGTTCTTTCAAATTATTTATCTCTAACATGTTCTTCGCTGCAATCAACATGTCATCAACATAAAGTAGCAAATATATAAACGAATTATCTGGAAGTTTCGGAAGTAGACACAACTGTCATACTTGGATCTACAATATTGAATGCTTGCCATAAAGGAATCAAATCTCTTATACCATTGTCTAGGAGACTGTTCAAACCACATAAAGACTTTTTCAATAAACACACATGATCTTCCTTTCCTTTAATTTCAAAACCTTCTAGTTGATGCATATAAATTTGTTCTTCTAAATATTGTGTAGAAATGTCGTTTTAACATCAAGTTGCTCTAATTCTAAATCATGCATAGCAACTAAAGCAAGCAAGGCATGAATAGAACTATGCTTCACAACAGGAGAAAATACGTCATTGAAATCAATTCTGTGTACCTGACTATATCCCTTTACAACTAACCGTGCCTTGTATCGAGCATCTTCTATTCCATGCATACCCCCATTTTTCTTGAAGACCCATTTGCAGCCAACAGTCTTCTTTCCTTTAGGCGGTTTAATAAGCTCCTAAGTCTGGTTCTAGCGAAAAGACACTATCTCCTCATTCATAGCCACTAAACACTTAACAGAGTCCTCTGAAGAGACAGCTTCTGAATATGATGACGGCTCACCATTTTCTTCCATCACCGACAAAGCGTAAGCCACAATATCTACTTCATCAAATCTTTTAGGTGGTTGAATCTTTCTTCTTGGCCTATCTCTGGCAATGTTGTACTCTTGTTCTCCTTCTTGCTAAATTTCTTGAATGGGCTGCAGAGTTGAAGATGATTCAAAAGGAACGATAGAAACATGCTAAGTAGGAGTAAATTTTGAAATTTCTAGCTCCAACTCCTTTTCTACATCACAATTGTTAGGAGAATCTTTTCCAGAATGAAACATAGAAGACTCATTAAAAGTTACATCCCTGCTAATAAAGAATTTAGGATTTTTAGGATCCAGACACTATAACTTGTATCATTTCACACCATCCGCATAACCAAGAAAAATGCACTTCTTGGCTCTTGGCTCCAACTTTCCTTCATTTACATGAGCATAAGCAGGATAACCAAATATTCTCAAATTAGAATAGTCTGCAGGTTTACCTCATTTGGTGTTTTGCACTCAATGGCTGTGCTAGGAGATAGATTCACCAGCCAGCATGTGGCATTAACGGCTTCTGTCCAAAACTCTTTACCCAAACTTGCATTTGACAGTAAACATCGAGTCTTCTCTATCAAAGTTCTGTTCATGCGTTCTGCAACTCCATTTTGTTATAGTGTGTTCACAACTATGCGGTGTTGTACAATGCCTTGATTCCTACAGAACTTGTTAAACTCTTCATTACAAAATTCAAGACCATTGTCATTCCTAAATCTCTTGATCTACTTTCCAGTAGGGGTGAGCACGGGTAGCAGGTAGAACCGGAACTGGAACCTACCTAGAACCTGCACTGTGCGGGTAGGTTCTGGTTCCCATTTTTTGGAACCGCTACTGTGCGGTTCCAATTCCGGTTCTTGCATGTGGAGGAACCGGAACCGGAACCTATAAAAAGGGTACCCTATTGGGGTACCTGGTTTGGAACCTGTTTTGGAACCTGCTTTAGAACCTGTTTTGGAACCTGTTTGGAACCTGTTTTGGAACCTGTTTTTGGAACCTATTTAGAACCTATTTTGGAACCTGGACTATAATGAAATATTTGTGAAATGTAAATAATGGGGGAGTTTCTATTATTTTACATATAAAAAAATTTAAAATAGAAAAAGTTAAATTTTTAGAATAACCTAATTAAATAAATATACGAATACAATTATACTTATTACATATAAATTACACCATATTAAAAGCTTTAATATATTATAATACATTAATATTAAAGTTTTGATCAATTAAGTGAATAATTGGAATTATGATCCAATTAAAAGTGTTTTACATTTTTAATGTTATTAAAAGAATTATTTTTGAATAAAATAGTATATTTGATTGAGTAATAATATATTTAGTTATTTACTTCAATTATCCAATTTCTAAGATATCTATAATAAATTAGTATTAGTTAATTATAATGATAAATTGATAAACATTATAGTTAAATGATTACTTAATAATTATAATTTTATAACATTACTTAATTGATTTATAGTAAATTAATTATATCATTACATTAATTGATTACTACTTAATTATTGACTTATAATTAGAAATTTAACTAATTATAGCATTACGTTATAAATTTAATTACTTAATCAATTATAACATTTATTATAAACATGAGTACAAACTTAATTAAATGATTAAAAATTTAATTAATTATAATATTACATTAAAATTTATAGTATGATTACTTATATTTAATTCACTATAACATTATATTATAGTATGATTATATAATTAATTATAACATTACATAATTAAATAATTACTTAATTGATTATGTCATTATATTATAAATTTTAGTAATTACTAATTTACTATATAAACATTAGCATAATAATTAATTAAATGATAAGAAATTTAATTAATTATAACATTACCTTATAAACATTTTATATAAACATTAATTAAGCATTATATTATAGTTAAATAATTACTCAATTAATTATAATATTATATTACATTATATTTATGATCACTTACTTAATTATATCATATATAGTTAAATGATTATAATTAGTTTAATTTATAACATTACATT